GACCTCCATTTGCTGATGTGACACAACTCAAATCAAAGAGAAACAGCTGCAAACATCCATTAATAATAGGAACACGGAATTTATGAAGTATGAACCTAGGAAAATTAGAAGTTGTCAAAAATGAAATGGAACACATAAAGATTGATATCTAGGCATTAATGAGTTGAAGTGGACTGGTTTTGGCCATTTTGAATCACAGAACCATATGATCTACTATGCCAGGAATGACAATTTGAAGAGAATGGCATGACATTCATCACCTCAAAGGGTATGTCAAGATCTGTCCTGAAGTGCAATGCTGTCAGTGATAGGATAATATCCATACATCTACAAGGAAGACCAGTTATTATGACTATTATTCAAATTTATGCACAAACTACCAAAGCCAGAGATGAGGAAATAGAAGAGTTTTATCAACTTCTGCAGTCTGAAATTAATTGAACATGCAATCAAGATGTGTTAATTATCACTGGTGGCTGGAATGCAAAAGTTGGAAATAAAAAAGAATCAGTGGTAGCTGGAAAATTTGGCCTTGGTAACAGAAGTAATGCTGGAAATTGCATGATAGAATTTTGCAAGATCAATGACTTATCCATTGCAAATACCTTTTTTCAACAACACAAATGGTAGCTTTACACTTGGACTTCACCAGATGGAATACTCAGGAATCCAATAGACTACATCTGTGGCAAAAGGTGATGGAAAATCTCAGTATATTCAGCCCAAACAACGCCAGGAGCTGATTGTGGAACAGACCATCAACTGCTCATATGCAAGTTCAACTTGAAGTTGAAGACAAGTAAAACAAGTCCACGAGAGCCAAATATGATCTTGAATATATCCCTCCTGAATTTAGAGACCATCTAAAGAATAGATTTGATTCATTGAATACCAAAGACCAAAAACTAGAAGAATTGTGGGATGACATCAAAAACATCTTCCATGAAGAAAGCAAGAGGTCATTAAAAAGATGAGAAAAAAAAAGGCTAAAATGGATGACAGAAAAGACTCTGAAACTTGCCCTTGAGCGGAGAATAGCCAAATCAAATGGATGAACTGACAAGATAAAATAATTGAACAGAAGATTTCAAACAGCAGCTTGAGCAGACATAGCCAATTACTATAATGAAATGTGCAAAGACCTGGAGTCTGAAAACCAAAAGGGAAGAACATGCTCGGCGTTTCTCAAGCTGAAAGAACTAAAGAAAAAATTTAAGCCTTGAGTTGCAATATTGAAAGATTCAATGGGCAAGATATTGAATGATGCAGGAAGTATCAAAAGAAGATGGAAGGAATACACAGAGGTACTGTACCAAAAAGAATTGGTCTATGTTCATCCATTTCAGGAAGTGGCATATGATCAAGAACCAATGATACTGAAGGAAGAAGTCAAAGGTACACTGAAGGAATTTGAGAAGAACAAGGCTCCAGGAATTGATGGAATACCCACTGAGATGTTTCAACAAACAGATGCCCCACTGGAGGCACTCACTCGGTCATGCCAAGAGATTTGGAAAACAGCTACCTGGCCAACTGACTGGAAGAGGTCCATATTTGTACCCCTTTCAAAGAAAGGTGATTCCCACAGAATGTGGAAATTATTGAACAATATCATTAATATTGCAAACAAGTAAAATCTTACTGAAGATAATTCAAAAATGGTTGCAGCAGTATATTGACAGAAAACTTCCAGAGGTGCAAGCTGGATTAAGAAGAGGACATGGAACAAGGGATATCATTGCAGATGTCAGATGGATCTTGGCTCAAAGCAAAGAATACCAGAAAGATGTTTACTTGTGTTTTATTGACTATGCAAAAGCATTTGATAGTGTGGATCATAACAAATTATGGATAACATTGAGAAGAATGGGAATCCCAGAACACTTTATTGTACTCATGAGGAACCTGTACATAGACCAGGAGGCTGTCACTTGAACAGAACAAGGATACACTTCATGGTTTAAAATCAGGAAGGGAGTATGTCAGGGTTGTATCCTTTCACCATACTTACTCAATCTTTATGCTGAGCAAATAATCTGAGAAGCTGGACTATATGAAGAAGAATATGGCATCAAGACTGGAGGGAGAATCATTAACAACCTGTGATAGACTGATGACACAACTTTGCTTGCTGAAAGTGAGGATGACTTGAAGCACTTACTGAAGAAGATTGAAGAATAAAATCTGCAGTATGGATTACACCTCAATATAAAGAAAGCAAAAATCCTCGTAAATGGATCTATAAACTGCATCATGATAAATGGAGAAAAGATTGAAGTTGTCAAAAACTTCACATTGTTTGGTTCTACAGTTGATGCCAATGGAAGCAGCAGTCAGGACATTACACGACGTATAGCATTGGGTAAGTCAGCTGCAACAGACCTCTTTCAAAAGTGCTGAGGGGCAGAGATGTCTCCTTGAGGACTAAGGTGCACCTGACACAAGCCATGATATTTTCAGTTGCCTCATATGCATGTGAGAGCTGGACAGTGAATAAGGAAGACGAAAAAGGATCAATGCTTTTGAGTTGTGGTGCTGGCAAAGAATGCTGAAAGTACCATGGACTGGTAAAAGAACTAACAAATCTCTTCTGGAGGAACTACAGCCTGATGCTCCTTGCAAGTGAGAATGGCCAGACTTTGTCTCACTTACTTTGGTCATGCTGTCAGAAGGAACCATTCCCTGGAGAAGGATGCCATGCTTGGTAAGGTGGTAAGGTGGCAGGTCGATGAAAGTGGGGAAGGCCCTCAGTGGCTGCGGCAATGGGCTCAACTATAGCAAGGATCAAGGAGCTGGCGTGAGACCGGGCGGTGTTTTGTTCTGCTATGCATAGGGTCAGTGAGTTGAAGATGACTGGACGGCACCTAGAAACAACAACATAAAGCTGCAAAACTGACATCAGAGAACCAGTGGTGTTAAGCTGTAACTGACAACTTCAAAATGTAAAAGGGGAGATATAGTTATAGAACTTCATATGGAGAAGAAGTCAAAGCAATTTCAAGATAATAATGGACTGTTTTAAAGTTAAGAGAATAAAGGTAAATTTCAGTGGCAGCTCTGGTGGCGTAGTGCCTAAGGCATTTCAGGGTAACCACAAAGAAAATTAATAAATCTAATCATCAAAATAAAGAAGAAAATCAAATAGACTCAGTAAACAAAAACTGATAGGAAAATAGAATCTATATACAGAAAGAACTAAGAACAGAAAATTAAGAGGAACAAAGGAATTGTTAACACAAGACAAAAAAAGTATAACAAAATGGCAGCAATAAACATACCTTGTTAATTAAACTGAATGTAAATGACCAAATGTTCCAGTCAAGAGAGAGGGTGGCCAAATGGATATTTTAAAAAATGACCCAGCAATATATCCCCTACAAGAGACACATCCTAGACAAAAGACCTAAGTTACAAATCAAAGGAAAAAAAAATCAATCAAAGAGTAACCAAAAGAGAGCAGCAATAATAATTTTGAATAAAGTCAAATCAAAATGTATTACAAGAGACAAAGAAGAGCATTATAATTAAAGGGTCACTTTAACAAGAATACATGACAATAATAAATATTCATATACCCAACTTTAGAGTTCCAAAATACATAAAACAAACTAACAGAATGGAAAAGAGAAACAGATTGTTCTACAATAATAGCAGGAGACTTTAACAAACCACTTTCAACAATAGACAGAGCAACTGAAAAGAAACTCAATAAAGATACAGAAGATCTACATAACAGTCAACTAACTCAACCTCATAGACATAAACACGCACCCCCCGCAACAGTACCACAGTACACATTCTTCTCCAACACACGTGGTCATTTTCCAGACTAGACCACGTTCCAGGCCACACAGTAAGCTTCATGCAATGAGATACTATCTCACCCCTGTAAAACTGACACTGATTTTTAAAAAAGGAGAAAACAACAAATGCTGGCAAGGTTGTGAGGAGATTGGCACTCTCATAAACTGTTTATGTGATTGTAAAATGGTATAACCACTGTGGAAAATGGTATGGCACTTCTTCAAAAAGCTAGAAATAGAAATACTTTAATGATCCATTAAGCCCACTCCTATGTATATATCCTAGATATATAAGAGCTATGACATGAATAAACATATGCACACCCATGTTCATTGCAGCATTATTCACAACAGGAAAAAGATGGAAACAACCTAATTCCCCTCAACAGACAAAGGGATAAGCAAATTGTGGTGCATGCATACAGTGGAATACTACCCCCCAACCTGTTGTCCTAAGATACTCCTTTAATCTGGAACTGAAGCCACTCTTGGAGGTCATCCTCGGCCAAATAATACATTAGCCTATAAAATAAATACTATCACCTGTGAGAAATATGCTCCTTTAAAAAATCAACTGTACGATGGCCAGCATCCCTCAGAAGCAAAGATGAGAAGACAGGGAGTGGCAGGGAAGCTGAATAGATGGAAACAGGGTAGGCGAGCTGGAAACGGGGAGAGTGCTGATGAATTGCAGGGCTTGTAACCAAGGTCATGGCATGATCTGTGTATGAATTGTTGGATGAGAACCCACTTTGATATATAAACTTTCACCTAAAACAATAAAATACTGTTTAAAAAAAGGAATCACCTGGGGGTGATTTATGTTAAAAATATAAATTTCTGGAACCCAGCTCAGACCTCCTAAGTCCACACTTACAGGAGGGAGGGCCAACAATCTATCTATTTTAATAATTGTCTGAGGGATTCTTCTCATTATTTTCACAGAAGTCTGAGAAACATTGAACTAAATCACTGTGGTTCTCAACCCAAGTGGCACACCGCAGTCACTTTGGGAGCTTTGAACAATCCCCATCTCTGCCCTACCCTGCTCTCACCACTGTGATGGAAAAATCAAGAATTACACTCTTTTGTGAATTTATTTCATTGCACAGATTGAAATGTTGTTCAAATACTTTGAAATATCTCTAGATAGTCAATAATTTAATGATTTGTCACAAATGTGCTATTATTTTCTAGTGACAGTGAAGAACCTCCTGAAGCCCTTTCTGATAATGAGGTAAACATTTCTATCCCTGTGAAATATGAAGTTGGACTACAGTTTTTCAGGTAGGAGACGTGGCACTTTTATCTTGATGCTTTGCTACTCACTCCATGGTTCTCAAAGTTTGGTTTTTGGCCAATAGTATCAACAGCACCTGGAAACTTGTTAGAGATGCAAATTCTCAGGCCATGCCACAGATTTTCTGAATCAGAGACCCTGTGAGTTGGGCCCAGCACTCTGTGTTAACAGCTGCTCCAGGTACTTCTCATGCACCCTAGAGTATGAGAAGCAACTCACTAAATAATCCAAAATTCAAGGGGCTAGTGATACTGTACTGATGGCAGAACACAAAAATGGGAGGATTATGGGATGTATGCATAGATTTTGCTTATATTTCTTAGGTTTCACATTCAATTAGCTGTTTTCTATTTTTGCTCTTCTGTTAGCACATTGACTTTTCCCAAGAATTTTCTATTTACTTAAAATCAAATTTTGGCAAACAATTTCTAATTTTCTGAAAAAAAAACTTATCTTCTCTTGACTGAAGTGCTGCTTAAGAATATGTTTATATTATATTTCATTCTGCCAAGTTCATCCAGACAACATAGAGAAGATTGAATTTCTAAGTTTAGCAGTAAATAGAGCACTTTAAGTTCTGGAGAGGTACATTTTTTAAACCAAACCAAAACCAAACACACTACTGTGGAGTCAGATCCAACTCATAGTGACCCCTCCTTGGGTTTCTGAGGCAGAATCACTACGGAAGTAGATTGCTCCATCTTCTTTCCGAGGAGTGGCTGGTGGGTTTGAACCGCCAGCCTTCTGGTTAGCAGTCAAGTGCCTTAGGCACTATGCTACCAGAGCTCCTACATATTTTAAAGTCTATTTAAATTTCAGCACTAGTAAATTACCAAGTTTTTGTGTAAATATTCACTCACTATTAATAATGTGTGGCTTCATGGAAACTTTTCACTTGTAGTAATGATAACAGTTTTTATTATTTTTTAAAATGCACACATTTTAACATTTTAGGACAAAATAAGCATCAATAATTGTTGAACTAAATTACATAACCCTTCTCACCTTCCTCAAAGATTTTATTTTAGGTTTCAGGGTAGATATCCTCTTGATTTGAACTCTCTATAAGTCATTTTTATGAGATTACATGGTATGAAGAAAGAAAAAGCAAATGAAGTCAAATAAAAGTTAAGCTTTGTTGTATTTTATTTTTCTTCCAATTAATTCCTGTAAAGCTCTGCAAGTGAATACCATATTTCCATTGCGGCCAATGAAACAGTCCCTGAAATTATTAATTCTACTGAGGACATTGGAAATGAAATTAACATCTTCTATTTGGTAAGAAATTACCTCTAATTTAAGACAGTAAAGGAGTCATTTGTACATTTATAAATGAGATAAAAGTATTGCAAAACACATGAAAACATATTGCAACATTTAATATCTATTTTCAACACATTTTCTTTATAATTTCACACCTAGGGACCTAAAATTTGCTTAAATTCCTGTGAAAAGTTATACCCCAGAAAATAACATGAGTGTCAATCACTCTACTAGATTCTGGGGATGAGTTTTGAAATTTAAGGCCACCAAGTTTTTCTGGCCCCGTTAGTTTTTTTATAGGTAATATAATTCATCAAATAACAAGAAAGACAGAAGCTGACTTTGAATGTTACATACATATCATCACATATTTTATGACTTGACAGGTACTCTCAAACTATTGTAAATAATGTTGATATAAATAACACTGTGGAGAATATCCTTGAGCATAAGTCTTTGTGTATCTCTTGTTATTTTGTGGTAAATTCTAGATTTAAATAAATGAAATAAAAAAATATGAAAAATGAGCATGTTTTTGGCAAGACTCAGTAACTTCACTGCTGGAATTAATCCTAGGAAATTACTGGTGATACAGATAAAGATTTATGTTTAGGTATGTTCTTAACAATGTTATTTATATTAGTTTGAAAAATTCAAAACCTGGACAAAATCTAAAAGCTTAACTGCAAGAAATTGCTTAAATAAATTATTGTACAGCTTTTCATTGGAGAGATAGCTTATAGTAATAGTTCAGAGGGTACATTTTAGAATAAGAAATCTTAATTCTACTATTTACTAACTCTGTGATCTTGGAAGATCTTTATTCTTGTGCTAACACTGATTTATACAAACAATGTGTGTATTATAAGTTTCTTACCAATCGCACCCTCCCCTCAAGGTGTTTTTGTAAGCACGTTATGTTGATTTTTTTTTTTTTTTTTTTTTAAGTAGCATAGCATACTTACAAAAATACCTTGCGGGGAAGATGTGGTTGGCAAAAAAAAAAAAAATGTATAATGTACATGTTATTTGCCCCAAAATATGGTAATACAAGGATAATAAGGTAATCTGCTTCCTTGGGTTGTTAGAAAATTCAAGGTAAATTAAAAAATTAGCAGTATGCCTGGCTCATAGTTACAATTAATATTGATATTATGGTTTTTATTAAGTAGCAATTAAAATTCATGTTCTCAAAGAACATATATGTTTATGGGAAAGTGTTATAATACATTTTACAAAAAAAGGCAAAATTTTGTATTTTATATTATATGAATTATATAAAGCACTCATATATATGCAAATGATAAAAATAGATAATGTAATAGATAATGTATACACCAAAATGTTACCCAAAATATTTATATATATATTTGCAAATTAAAGACTGGTAATGTATGTACCAAAATGTTACGTAGGTTGTAAGTTGCAGGAAATTTTATTTGTGATATTTTCCAATATTTCTACAAGGAATATGTTTTTTTTAAAATTGTGATTTGGGTGTAAGTTTCCAGAACAAATTGGTTTTCCAATCAACAGTCCACACACATTGTGCTTCACAACATTGGCTGCAATCTCCACACTGTAATTCTGTGCATTCTTCCACTTCCTCCTGCATTTGCCCCTTCCCTTCGTTCTTCTTTGCCATCCCCTCCCACCTTCCTAGCTCTACCCCTGGGCAAATGCTGTCCTCTTGACCTCATATGGGTAATTGTTCTAATGAGTGCATACCCTCATGATATTAATGATCACCTTATAGGCCTGTCTGTCATTAGGCAGCTAGTGGAGTCACAGGAGTTAAGTACAGGAACATTTTTAATCAGAAAAAGAAATTATAATTACAGAATGCATTCACTCCTCGCTTACTGACACGGTTAGGTTCCAAAGACCAGGTCATTATGTGAAATCAGCATTATGCAAAAGGCAGGTGCTACACTCCAAATTCAGCACCAGTGCTCCTCCCAAGTCACTCAGCTCTGCTGAGCACCCCTGGCATGTCTCAGGATACACATGACATAGCAGCCCCCATTTCCTCATCATGCCTTCCTCACCACCACAGAGCCTGCAGTGGTTGAGGATATGGTAGTGGTGGTCAGGCATTGCCCATCGCCTTCCCACCGCTCACGACCTGCTGCCTTTCACCGCCTCCTACCCTGGGAAAGGTCTCCACTCATCCACCCTGGATCCACAGTCTTGGGCAGCCCCTTTCCCTTGGCCCTTTTCCTGCCTCCTCCTTATTGACCTCCCTGGCACCTTCAGGTCCTTGTTCAACCTTCCCTAGCCCATCTGCAACCTCTTGTCATCCCACCATCACCCCACACTCTCCATGGCTGGACTGAGAGGAATAGAAGGTATTCATAGCCAGAAAGCCATTGTCCCTCACGTGGCCTGGTCATCGCCAAGACGTCTGGTATATTGTTCAAGGTGGCCCATCAAGGGCACCCTGGGCCTGGCCACCACCCTACCTGGGGCACGGCCCATCAGAGGTGCCACTTGAGAGTTTTTCAAAGTTGTTGTAAATGCAAAATGTGGGGTTACAAAATATTCAACAAGTGTGGAGTAGATATACAAATTTTCACTAAATAATGGGAAACAAGTAGAGTTAGAATGGGAGGCAAGACATGTCTGTCGAGCCCAGGACATAGAGCAATAAGAGTCAAAGAGCCCAGTTAAAAGGCCAGGCACAGCTGGTCAGGAATCTCCAGAATTTCGGGATTAGGGGGCTCACTCTAATCTTCTGTAACTACAGGGAATTGCTTCAAACTTGAGTAACTTTTGGTCTGGGAGGCCAAGTTTAGCAGGTCAGTAAGAGTCTATAAATCCAACAAATCTAGGTTACTGACATTTGTTTATGCCTTGCCCTTTCAAAGTAATCCCCACACTTATTTTCCAAAACAACTGCACCACTTCTCCAAAGGCATGATATGGGCATCAGCATCCCCTTCATCCTGCCTAGCTTCCGTTCCCTAACACATGCCTACTTTGGGGCATCACATTTTATTAAGCGGCTATAGGAGGCTAGGGGAGCTCTGGTAGCATAGTGGCTAAGGCACTTGACTGCTAACCAGAGGGCTGGCAGTTCAAACCCACCAGCCACTCCTCAGAAGGAAGGTTGGGCAATCCTACTTCCGTAGTGATACTGCCTCAGAAACCCAAGGAGGGGTCGCTATGAGTCAGGGCTGACTCGACGGCACATAACAACAACAACAGGAGGCTAGAGGACTGAAAACTGATAGGGTTTGAGATGGGAGTCAATCTGACTCTCAGCACACGGGATTCGCAGCAGCCATTAACACAGTGTCCCTCACTGGTGATAGGGCTGTGAAGGCCCGCAGATGGATGTTTGGTTTGCCGTCCAGTCATGGAAGATTCCATCAAGTCAGGGCTTGAGGATTTATGGCAAGTCCAGTTAGGACAAACAGAATGTGTGGGCTTGAGGATTTATGGCAAGTCCAGTTAGGACAAACAGAAGAATGGTAGCCTGTTCCCAGTGGATCAGGGGGATGCCCTGCTCCCTCCCAGCTCCAGCAAGACTCATCTGCCAGAAGGGATAATGGGCAAGGTAAATAGGTAGGTAAGAGCATACTAAGGGAGAATTTTCAATTCTGGTTTCCCCTAATCCCAGTCCTATTTTGGGAGTGGAGGATGAAGGAACAACATGACCACTAACCAATAAATATTCGTTTTTTGTTTTTTGTGTTTTTTTTGCTGGTCAATTATGCTAATTCTCTATAGCAAAAAAAAAAAAAAAATCCAAACCCATTGCCATGAAGTCTATTCTCACATATAGTGACCCTAAAGGATGGAGTAGAATTGCCCCAGAGGGTTCCCAAGGCTGTAACCCTTACAAAAGCAGACTGCCAGATCTTTCTCCCATGGAGCAGCTGGTGGGTTCAAACTGCTGCCATTCTAGTCAGCAGCAGAGCAGTTAAACACTGATCCTATTACACAGCTTCATCCTTCAATTAAGAACCAAAGTCTTACATAAGACCAAAGGGATGTTATTGAAAAAGAGAGAATGGACTACATTTCTACTTTTTTCCCCGTAGATTAAAAAAAGTGGACATTTCCCAATGCCAGAACTTAAGTTGTCAATTTCATTCCCCAACTTGACATCAGATGGTTACCCTGTGCTGTACCCAACTGGATGGTCATCTTCTGATGTAAGTCATTTGTGTCTTAAAATTATGTCATTACCATTCTTTCTTTTTTCTTTGTGTTTAAAGCTTACTTCTTGTCCCTGGTTGGCTTAAGATGAAGACTATAGTAACATGAAAAGACATGTAGAAAATAAAAATCATGATAATAATTTCAGTGGGTTATTTAGCAGATTTTAGTTGTGGTTACAACTTTAATTTGTTTGGTGTATGGAAACAACTCTTAAGAGATTTCTTAATTGATCCTAAGCACCAAGGTGTGCATAAAATAGTTGCTAATTGGGGAAGACTGATGCCTGGTTTACAGTCATAAAGAGTAAAATTTTCATACAGACAAGTAGGTATAGAGAAGCATAGTGTATGTTCTCCTTACTATAGTATTTTGAAACGTTTTGGCATTTGAGACCCGCAGACAGAGATTTTGAACCGTTTTAATTATACACCAACTTACATACAACTTGGAGTGATAATCAGAGTAAAGCCTTAGTACAGATAGCAACTGAGGATCTCTTTTACTGCATACACCTGTTTACAAACAGTACTTAGAGAATAACTATTTTTTTCAACCACTTATAGCACCAGAACTTTTTCATAGCCCCGAAATAATTAGTCTTCTTCAATCTATAGTGAGGAGTTCATGAGAATGGTATTTTGTCTTTTGGTACTCTTAATTCTGTGTTCTTCCTGTTCCAACCATCTCTCCTACTAGAAAAAAAAACACTCTAATAAAACCCCAGAAAGGATGGTCTGTTCTGTTGTTCTGAGCTCCCGACCTGGCAAGGATCTCCCCCATCTAAAGCCAGAGTTACAATATTGCTTGTCCACCCAAACAACAGCAATGTTAAACTTCCTTTTTTACCTGTAGCATTGAATGAGTCTGTATGGTAGTTAATCTGTGGTGTTTAATGCCTGAAACATTAAAAAGCCCAATAAGTATTGAATGAATGAATGAATGATTTCATCATTTGACAATCTGTCTTTCCACAGATTTTTAAAAGAAAGTTATTCTCAGATATCCAGAAATAGAAATAATGGTAGTTGGCTTGTAATTATATAATCATTTTCTGCACTATCCTAAAGACAATGAAAAAATACAACTCTTAGAATTTCTCTCTAATCCAAAAAAGTAGGTTTGTGAGAATCTAGAAAGAAAAAGAATGTGCTTTTTTATACTACTTATGAACCTTTATTATTATTATCTTTAATTAAGGATGTAGAGAATCCCGAGGGGAGTGAAAAAACAGATTAAGTTTAGAGTAAACACCAGGACTCCTTATTTTATAAGCACAGCATTTTAGCATCCACTGGTGCATAAGAGCTTCCTCCATACTGCACACTCAAGATCCATACTTACTATATGGTAATGGCTGTCATTCATGGATTTTTCAGGTTGTTGCACCAAGCCATTTGTCCTTCTGACATCTGTCATTATCTAATCAAAGAAATATTTTCATTTCTTAGAATGAAAACTGCAGACCCAGTAGCCTTCAGGATCCTCTTGGAATCAACTCTGGGAAGAAAATGGTGATATCCAAATCTGAAGATCTCAAACGAGGCACAGTTCTGGTAAATTCAGAATGCAAATTTTATCTCATAGCTTCTATGTGAATAAATTCAATATAGACCTTGAAATAACAGTCCTAATTATTTTATTATGGTATTTTTTTATCAAATGGCGAGAATACTAATATGTATTTCTGGACATTTAAACAGGACTGCAGTACATGTAAATTTGCTACCATCACATGTAATTTGATTCCTTCCGATATGAGCCAAGTGAATGTTTCACTTATCTTATGGAAACCAACTTTTATAAAAGTAAGTGATTGCATTCTTCTATGGAAATATTGAATCAAATCAAGAAATAGTTGTTCCCTGCTTAACATGTGCACAGCAAAGTGCTGCTGGAGAAAGGACAGGAGAAAGGAATGCAGGATAATGGGGTCCAAGCCCAGCTCTGCTCTATCAGCTCTGTGAGCCACATTTTTTGTCTGTCTGGAGCTATCTCCAGGGTCCCCTTACAGATACACACCTTTCCTGGTCTTTCTTAACCTTTTTTTTTTTTTTTTTTCACCTTAAGAAATTAAGACTTTTACAATACCAAAGCTTATAGTTTATCTTAATACTTTGGAACTTAGGTAAGTCACAAGGAATTGAAATTGACTCCATTAACAAAGGATAAAGCCTGCATATATTATGGATTCATGGTGATACATGAGACTTTTATTCCATACAAATATATTTTGGAGGATATGTTTTAACCCCCAGTAAAACAGAATCTGTCTGACATTAAGCTCTTTGAAAGCTCAGTCCATTGTATTTTATATTATTTGTTTCTCTTTTAGAGAAGTATTTAGATAATCATTTGAAATTTCCATTTTTAGGCTTGATCATATTACATTATTATTTTGTAAATCAAGAATTGTTGAATAATAGTCATTTCATTAGTCTCAAATAAGCACCTACATAAATCTCATTACCAGAGTATAGCTACCAAAGGAGGTAGGCATGGTATTCATTTTTTCGCTAAGGGTAAATCTGATTGGAAATTATAACTTTTTCCATTCTAAAACAGGCATCTAAGTGAGAGTTTGGGGTCAAGGAGAGAAGGTGCATGTACATCCATCCTTTGATACCACCAGTTTAGTTTGGAAAGTTAACAAAACCATTGTTTTTAATCTCAGAAAAAATCTAACTTTAAAAATTGCACTATTCAGACATAACAAGCTCTTATTGTGATTAGTATAATATTTAAAAAAAAAAAAATTCCTGTTTGCTTTTCAGGCACATTTTTCCAGCTTAAATCTTACTGTAAAGGCAGAACTTCAGAGTGAAAATACATCCTTGGTTTTAAGTAGTGGCAATAAAAAAAGAGAGGTAAGTACAACAGTAAGTTTTGAAAACATTACACATTTCACTCTGAATTTTGTGACATAATGTTTTATAATTGCTTATAGATCTTAAAGCAGTGACTACAACTGCTCTCAATAAGTGACAGACACTTTTTGCTTCAAATTATACTTCATTAGCTTTAAGTGTGATTTCAGTCTAGTTCTTCCTTTTAAGAAGCTGGGAAAATCATGATATTTACAATTAACATGCCATGTTTGACTCCATCGCTTCTAACTATCACAGAAAATTGATGTTTTTACTTTCACCTTGATAACAAATGATGCATTTGTAATTTTCATCCTTAAAACTGACATTATGAAGTACAGTTGACATCTGAACAGTAGACTTGAAACCATTTTCTTTATAAGAAGTGTTTTTATACTATACAGGAATATGTACTGTGTACACTTTCTTCATTTACCTATTAGGAAATTTGAAGCAAAAATGAAGTACTATTCCCTAATACATATATATGTTTGAGTCCAATAAAGTTGTTTGGGTTTTTTACTCTTATCTTTTATAAAATATGACCAAAGCACTTATTTGTGGACTTGGATACTTCAGAATGAAGTTCTATTTGAAAGCATCCTAACATTGAGATGTTCTTTTAAAATTGCTTATCTCAAATTGTTACAATACCAATGACCTCTGATAAGTATACCTTGTTACAGAAAAAGCATGTGTATAATATTTACTTACTTTATAAAGACACTTATCTTGAGAAATACAAAGTTGTTCCCCAGAAGAAAAGCCAAAATTTCACTAATTCCTGGAAAATAGGACTGTGGTGCATTGGAAAGAGTGCATTTGATTCTTAAAGATGTTGGGTTAAAACTTTATAATTAGCTTTGTTGTTGTTGTTAAGTGCCGTCGAGTCATTTCTGACTCATAGTGACCCCATGCACAGCAGAATGAAACACTGCCCGATCCCACGCCAGCCGCACAATCCCTTCTATACTTGAGCCCATCATCGCAGCCACCGTATCAATCCATCTCCTCGAAGGCCTCCCCCTCTTTCGTCGACCCTCCACCCTACCAAGCATGACATCCTTCTCCAGGGAATGGTCCCTTCTTACAACATGACCAAAATAG